AACGATTTAAAGAAAGTATTTAGAATAAAAATTTAGAATAAAAATTGAATCGAATACTTACGTTAATTTTTATTCTAAAGTCTTTTTATTTTCAGATAAATAATCCTTCCCATAAAAGATAGACTTACATTCCAATCAGGCTGGTCATACCATCAAAGCTCCCTTTTTCGATGACTTCAATTTCATTATTTTGTAAAAACCTGTTAATTATCAAATGATACAATTAATCCGCAATGCCCAGCGACGACATTTTGCATATCAAACTACAATCTTCCGCAAAATAAATGTGTCACTTGCCCCCTGCCCCTGATACAAAGTTGAGAGGATGGCTTCGCTAAGTATTCCCGGGAAATGGGAACTTTTTGTAGCGTGGATTCAACATTGACTGGAGGGGAGGGARCTAAASCGGTAAGAAATCGACGTGACTCATTTTATTTTGAAGGAGATTGTAGCTTATTGCCATACATCTGGTGGCATTTGCTTAGATTTCTTAGATTATATCTTTTGATATGTTATAAATGAAGAGGCCGAAAAAGAGCACAAATACGGCATTTTTTAAAAGAATATATAGATTTATCGGTCATTAGAAAAGCAAAAATCTTTAAAAAAATATCTCGGATTTTGCTCTCCGAAACCCTGGGATTCTTCAACAATGCTTTTACTTCAGTAGCCTTCATGAGAATAATCAAAACCACAGGCATAAATCGCTAAAAATGGAAATGGCCTGAAACTTCACAGAAATGTAAAGAAAAACACAATACATTATTTTTGTTATATTTTAAATATTTCTAAAAAGTACACAAATGCCTAGCTTGGGCTACCTGTAATCGCCTGGCTATTTTGATGCTCAACTACAACTCTTCAAAGGCGAAAATACATACTTGGATTTTCAAATGATTTTGTCACGAAGACTATACAGAAAGGTCACACATATATTTTATTTCATAAATTCGATGGTAGGTTTTTCATTAACTAAATAAGTTATGCAGGAGGCCCACTTTTTTGGAGCGAGCCGTGTTCAAAACTCGGATCGCCAGTCTATTTTGATGCTCAACTACAACTCTTCAAAGGCAAAAATACATACTTGGATTTTCAAATTTTTTCGCGAAGAATACACAGAAAGATCACATATATATTTTATTTCTTAGGTTCGATGGTAGGTTTTTAGGATTGTCTTTAATATCATTGTATTTCTTCAAAAAGTCTTGAAATCTGGTCTCTTTTCGTCGAATTTGACACTTGAGTGATCACGGAYTTTTTGTCACCATTAAGTTAAATATGGTGCAACAAAGCATGATAGAAATGATAGTCCTTTCACTGTTTTATATCCACTTAAACAGTCCTCCAAGAGTGTTTTTAATTTTCATTCAATATTTGATTGGTTATACCGATTCTACTACGAGAGCCTTACAATGAGAATTTTCAATGAGAAGTGCCATTGAAAAAGTGCGTATAGTACACCTCCCATCATGCTTTTCTGTACAAAATGGCGTCACTCGACGTACTGTAGAACTATCGAATTGTTTGACAATGATATAACTTACAGTTGGAGGAGACTACTGGACGCCTTCAGTACACCAGCAGGTATTTTCTTGATTTGGTTATTTGAAAATGACCTTGARAAATAGCCGTTACAATTGATTTCAAAAGAGTGCGAACAATCGACATTTCATGTAATTTTCGCCGACATGCATGACTCAGATGACATCGCTTGGTTTGTCCCATGTTTGTGATAAGGTTAAAAAAGAATGTACAAGCGTCTGTGCGAGGCATAATAATAAATTATTTGAACAAAAACACGGTCAAATTTTCTTGCGGTCATTGTTTCCCGTCAATATTTTGACCTGGAACAACTTTTGACTCCCGCTTCACCTCTCTCAGAGCCTCTCTCAATCCCTTTTTGCATATTTACAATATTTTATGATGTCAAAAAAAAAGATTGACTGTCATTCATGAACTCTATTATGATTTTCTTACTTATTTTCAGGATACTTTTCAAGTTCTTTTTAYAGATTTTGTATTTATTTTGCCTTTCAATCAACTTTGAAGGGTCTCTTCATAGCTCAAAGGCCAGTCGCAAATGAAGCCATTTTTGGCTTTTGACCCAGGATCCTTTTCGCGGTGTATCCAACACCTGATCCAACACCGTATCAAAGAATCCCCTATTGTTCGGTGTCCATTCTGAGGTGTCAAACATCGAACAATGATCTTTTGTTTAAAGTGATCAAAGAGGTTTTTGAATGATATCATAGTTATTAACTATGATGATATTAAAATCAAGTGCGTAGTTTCGGAAAAACGARTCTAAGCCTGATTGCATCCCACATACCAGTGCCAGACTACCAATGATCTTGTCGAGCAATGTCAGTCGAGTTATGTATATATGTCAGCCAAAAAAATGAAAAGTCGATAGTTCGCACTCTTTTGAAATCAAATTTAATATATTTGTTTAGTGCTCTTTCATGCTTTGAATATTTGCACTCAATCAATTATAGTGTTCATCAACAACAACTAGTCAGTACTCACAGATAAACAAAAATCTTCACTTTTTTGAAGTCATCCGGAATAGACACGATTCGGTTGTAGCTCAGGTCCCTAAAATAAGTCGAGAACTCATTAATCAGCTGAAAATTATTCATAGCAGAAATCTTGTATTCTATATTTATATAACGTTTGGTAACATGAAGTCCAGATCCTTTCTAGTCAGCTCTGTTAAACTGTTCGCGTGAAAAAGGGTCCAGAGTACTTGCAAGCTATGTACACAGTTTTGTAGTGTTTGTCGTGATTTATGTCTATTTTAATGAAGCATGCAGATAATTATGTACTTACGTGCATCATCAAATATAAATTTATACAAAATTTCACTCATTTTAGACATTTTACATGTAAAACAGCTCAACAACATCTAACATCGAAATTTGGACAAGTCAGATTCAAATGCCAGATATTAGGGAATGGTTGTGAATGACCGGATATGCTTGCATTGCATGAATTCACCCCAAAATACATTTCTTAACACGGAAATTACTTAGAATCGATTCATAGKTCATGCCATATCGTCGCGACGAATCAAAATATAATTGGCATATGAATAGCTCGACAATGTAATCAGTTATATTCGGCGCGCGCTACTGTGGAACTGCAGTAGTAGATCAACATCAATCGTGYTGCAGGGCAAGGGCTCGATGCTGAGCTATCGTTGTGGTGCCGAACTTATAAAAACGCATAAATGAATCTTTTTTCGACAATAATAGTAGATGCAATTCTGATCAACGTTAGCAACCGCCGTGCCAAATGTATTTAGGTCGWCACCATTTGACTATTTGGTTTGGCGTCGTGATGATATATCACCGCCCTATGAACCGGGTGTATATACTTACAACTGGAGAATGTCTTCGATTCCAGACTGTGCTATGGGAGAAATGTCCCTGATGCGGTTGTCTGACAGATCGCTTAAAATGAGAAATTCAGAAACAACAGTCTATACATTACTCAATAGTCTCCTTCACGGATACCTGCGCCATCTTGAAAGGTAGCMGTGCCTTTGCACCGAAGCGAGACGACCGTTGAGCGTGCAATGATAGATACCTCTGAATAATTGTCTATAGGTGTGAAAGAAGGTTTCTATCATTGCACGCTCAACGGTTGTCTCGCTTCAATGACAAGGCACGGCTACCTTTCAAGATGGCGCAGGTATCCGTGAAGGAGACTATTGAGGTATCGTCCACGATTCGTAGGGAAAGACCGAAAGTCTGCATGGAAAATACCAAAGTTAAAATTATTAAAAACTAATAAAAAAACTATATAAGGGGATTGAAACACACAATGAATGTTTGCTAGTGTCAGCTCGAATTCTCAACCTTGTTTCCAGGCCTTTATCCCTTTTTTATCCCTTTCATAAGGGCCTGGGAACGAAGATAACCCACCATTGGAAAAATTAAAAGATTTYCATTGTTTGGGTAGAATGTTAGAAGTTCCCCAGTTGACTTTTTCGGATCAAGGAACACAAGGAATATACAGTTTCAAGAAATACAAGATATGTACGTTTGAAGTTTTGGTGATTACACGCTCGGATACTCTATTTTACGGGGAAGCCCGAGAAAAAAGGGACTTGTGACTAGTTAACGTAATGCTTACAGCAGTTGAATGGATTTTGATATTCCTTTCAGGTCAGGAAAGCGTGTTAGATGGTTGCCACTAAGTTTCCTGAAAACGTATCAGCAAAAGCATTGAACAATATAATTTTGCTATGATTAATACAGACATTTGTAATAAAAATTCTGACCGCCTTGCTTATCTTAAAAGTCAATCAAACCGTTTGAAGCTCTCGCTTACGTAGAGTTCATATATAATCAAACAGGATAGAGTGCACGAAAACCTTGAAAATTTACCGACTAAATAGAGCTAAATAGTGTAGATCAGACAATAGACAACCAAGAAATTCACATTGGTCATTTCAGTTAATTAGCACTATGATTTAATTGCTAAAGTTTTTCAAGTGTTTGCACTATATTCTGCAGTTTGATGTCAAAACGTTTGAAAGTTTGACTTTCCCCAACAACCAAAATCTGTTATTTTTAYACAACTATTTCGAAAAAAAAACCTTGTCGGGGAGAACGGGMGAACGGCGATTTTCGAAGGGAGATTGCACGACCGGAAAGAACTATAATTACACTGTTTTGATAAACAAAATTTCACTTATTGGATTCACCTTACATAGAAATGGAGACTTAATGGAGCCAATGTTTACCACAGACCATCTTACAGTATAAATCAGTTGTTATTGCTTTTTAACTAGTAAAACCCATGGCTACTTTCGGTTGTGCAATCGCCGTTCGACCGTTGACATTCGCCATTTTATCCGACAACCTTTTTTGAAATAGCTTTATATATTTACCAGCGGTCAGAATTGCCTGCAATTAGTGTACTCACAATCCTTTCACAAAAGACATGTTTTGAAATGTTCCGTTTTCAATAAGCTCTAATTTACAATCTTGTAGATACCTAGATGGAAAAAAGAACAGCGCGCAATCAGCGCTTGATATCGACAACACAATCCAATTATGACTGGAAAGCACTTCATTCTAATCACGTGATAATGAGCCACTTCTTAGATATGGCGGCCATTTYATTGGCAGKGAGCAATTGTAAAAAGATACTTAACCACGTTGATTTTGGCATTGAACTCATCAATGAAAAAATTGTTTAGATAAGAATAGAAATTAAATCATGATTACCAAATTCATTAATAATTCATAAGGTAAACACAATGGAAAATCATTGCCGTGACCGTATCCTTATATGAGCAAGAGATTTGTCCTGATTTGCATACGACTTTAACTTCAATTTTCTCTTACAAATGATATTTTATCCTGAAGTTTTTTTTCGAAAAATGATTTAGCTTATGTTRGAATTTGATAAGCAATATAAAATATTCGCGTCCGACCTTTATGAGCTATAAAACKTCTTGCTTGCAGTCTCCCGCTCATATTTTATATATTACATAAATGCACAAAACTCTTTTTAAAAAACTAACCCATTTTTAGATTTTACACCTCGGTTAAGATCGTGCTCCATCACAAACATTTAAGGTTATCTTTACACATTCTAGTAGTTTTGTTTTTTGATTATTATCATTTTTTTTGTACGTCAATCTTTTTGATAGTGCGTTTTTAGCAAATTTTCTAGCGAATTGAATGAATTAAAATATGAATTAAAATCGACGCCATTACAAAACTAAATTTGATAGCACTACAAAATGGCTGTCGTATGTTCGACGTGATCCTTTGACTACATTAAAACCCCGTGTATAAGAATTCAGATTTTTCACGGTCAGTCTAGGTTCTTAAAGAAAACTTAAATTTAACGAAATTTATTTATTAAAATGGGGTTCTGCTATTTTTGGTAAGAAAAAAAGAAAAAGTACTTATATCGGTGGTTGTTTATTGCAAGTAATTCACACATTTTTAACTCGGAGATTGCGTAGCAATCGTAGAGTTATTGGGAGGGCACAAGCTGTCACTCGCTCGCTCGATCACTTTCCTGTAAACTCGAGCCTGCGATGTCTTTGTCAGTAGTTATTCATTTAATCATATTAATGTATTCTGCTTAATTATTATTTATCATATCTATTTTTCTTTACTGGTTTCCCTGTGCTATATCTGATTGAATTGATTTATTTTTTGGCAAACAAAGAAATGGGTCACCTGGGATCTGAACCCGGGCCCTCTGGATTGGAAATCAAAGACACTACCGATTAGGCCACGYGTGCTAATGTTACACGATATCGGGTAGACTTGTCTTTTAACTGATGGGCGCTCCCCCTTGCTTGTCTAGAATTCGAAGTTAAAACTATAAGATTTTAACGAAAAAATCTGCATTCAAATATCGTTTACTTAAAATTCTATTTGTAA